TTATCATCATGGGGACATAAGCAAACCTAAGCCATGGGGACAGGTGGGGGATAGAAAGAAGTTGTTCAGTGCAAAAGACCTCAAAAGTTGAGGGGATTCATCAGTTCACCATGGTTTTGATCTGAGAGATTCTAGACTTCTGGGGAGTTGCTGTCAGCAAATCTCTGTTTTGCAAACTACAGGAAGAGGGAGCATTTTCAGAGATTTCTTTGCTCCTTGCTTTAAGAAGGCTGTTTAAATGTGCATAAAATGAATTTAAAATAATTTTAAGGGGTAATTCTAGCAAAATGGGACAGTTTGCAAATTTGCTTTTGTCCTTTTCAGTTCATTGCTATGAGTCAGGGTATTTTTTATGTTTTGATACAGTTGAAACTTTTTATTTGTTTTGGGAAAGCTGACTTCCTGTCCAGCTGGCAACTTGTAGTTCCTCCCACCTCAGCCTTTCAAAAAATCTTGAGGAGTGCTCAAAAAAAGACATTCAGCCCACTTAATTCCAGTGTCTCAGAAACTTACTCTCCACTGCCAGCTATGACAAATCTTGTCTGTTTTATTTGGTATTTTATTTTTATTTTTTGAACAAGCAGAGTTGTTTTCCAAACTGGACTTAAGATTTTTTAAAAAAATTCCATTATTTGTGAAAGCAGTTGCAGACTGACGAATGTTGTTGTTTTAGGGGACTGTATGTGTGTGTGTGTTAGTTTGGTGCTTGTGAAAGGTGGCTCTGTTCCCTTCAAGTGTTAGCTATTCTTTGAGAACATTAAACAATACCAGGATTAGGGAGCTGGGGTGGGGAGCCACAGGAAACATCGGTAGATGAACTTTTAGACTGTAGAGAAGAGACTCCTGGGTGTGACAGAGTAGCTTATGGGACACTGGGAGAGGTACAAGGCACTTTAGACAATGAAGGAAAAGTTAGACTCACTCAGTTCCTGTGAATTAGAGTCCTCCCTTGACACACTGAGTCTGGGGATGTCTCATTTGGCTTGCATCCACAAAGAACAAGCAAGTAATCCTCATTTCTGCAGCCAAGAGAAGCACACAGGTTCAGCTTTCACCAGCTCTGGGAAGTGTAACAAAACAGTGCTCTGAGACAAAGTGGGTACAGAAAACAGACAACTCAGGCCAGTGCAGAACCCTCCCTTTCTTTGGGTCTCCTGCTTGTTGTAGAAGAGGTGGAGGAAGGAGAGAATCTGGACAGCAAACCTTCATCCACCCATCATCCTGAAGATCTGCCCTGAGCATTACTTGGACCATGGCCTTGAACAAACCACGTAATGGCTAGGCTAGACTTCAAGGCAGTTCTGGTCACCACCCTTTTCTGACAATCGCACTTCCTGACCAAGTCAGAAAACTGAAACACAAGTGTCATCCACCCTAGACAGGGACACATTCTGTTCCACAGACCAGGCAGTTTTTGGGAAAGGCAGAGCTGTGCACAGGGTCCTGGCTTGGGAGGTGTGTAGGAGTGGGAAAGGTGAAGCAAGAAGAAGCAGAGATATTTGGTTTAAGAGCTGGCTGATGTGAGTGATATTGGTTAACACTCCCATTTCTTATCTCATATTGTGGTCTAGGATAGGTATTCTTTGTGTCTTCTTTGGAAATTGAGTAACCTTCTCTCCCACATCCCTTCTATATCTAATGGAAGCACTTGTCAAAGCTCTAGGTTTTAGTAAGGTACTTCAGTTATACAAGCCAAACATATACTGACAGAGGCTGTATGTAAATAAAACTCAGGAAGCTCTGGAGTGAAAGGCTGAGCTGATCCAAACTCATGAAACTGAAGCTTAGGCTGGCTCCTGTTAGGTGACAGTTTGGGTCTTTGTGTTCCATCGGGAATTTCAGTCTTATATTTTGGGTTCTTCTGCCTCCTTCTGCTTTGGTATTTAGTACAGTAGTTACCTCTGAGCTCCCATCGCTTTTGGTCTCCAAAATAAGGTTTACAGCTGTGGAACTAAACTGTTGTTAGGAAAAGAGAATCTACTCTCCATGCCAGTGTCAGCTGCCTTTAGCTTCTCACATAATGGAATCCAGAAATAGCACTCAGGCTTGTGTTCATTCACCACAGAGGCAAATTTTACCGTCTCACTCTAACTGAATGCCATTGTGAGATCTTCTTGGTACAAATAAAAATTAGATTGCAAGGATGCTATCCTGCATACCATTATACTTAATTTGTCAGAGTGTTGCTCCCATTTGAGTGACAGGTATCTCTAGACTGTTGTAACCCATTCCTTCCCAAGAATATGGAAGGATATCCTTGTTATCATACTTGACATAAGGAGGGGATGATTCACAGTTAAAGAAGGATAGATTGAAAGAATATAGTAGGTCACGGTCAAGGAATGGTGGATTGACAATGTCAGATACATCTTGTGAGGCCTTCAGCAAGAGTGACTTGAAATGGCAGGACTCTGGGAAGCAAGCTGGACCTTTTGCTCTGTGGCCAAGACAGGCTGGTAAAGTGGCTAGATCCAGCCTTGAGGAGACACAGCCTGTGTCACTGTGAGGAAGAGGCCAGTCTGAGCAATAGCATAGCTACAACCTGTCTGGGCGACAGACAGCACAGCCTGTGCTGTGATGGGAGGTGCAAGCACACACACGGCACTACACAATGCTGACAGCAAAGCTACAGGCTCCTAAACTGTGTGTCTGTCTTTCCAGCTTATCTGCTGATGATCTGCTTGAAACCCCCATTCTCTAAACTAAGTTTAACATTTACCCCACCTTGAAATCCAGTGCTCTTCACAAACCCCTCTAGCCTATTCCTTCTTCATAAGGAGCTCTCTTTCCTTGGAAGGCCATATTCCTTTCCAATTCACCTTTGCTTTTCATCAAGCAATCACAGTCCTTTTAAAAAAGGTACCTTGTAGGGCAGGAAGACAAAGAAGACTGCTTGGTTAAATAAAAGAAGCTGGGGAGAAGATGCACCAAAGTTTCTAAAACGTAACAGATAGAACTGCAGTTATATGCAATAAGCTGTAACAAAATGCTTGTTCTGAAGGAAGTGGTCTGATGCCCAAATAATTTTTTCTATTGGCTGTCTAGAGGCATGTCATTTTAATCTGATGGTAAAAATATTATAAAAAAGTGTATGCTTTTCCAATAAATATGTCTGGCCCTATGACTGTCTGAGGACAGTGCTTTGCATGCTGAAATGCTGCAAAATGGTGCCCACTTAACAGGGACCTGAAATCTCTGAGATGATTCTGGACCTGTGGTATATTCCCAACTGAACCAGTGTATTCCCAACTGATCCAAAGGGTGGATTTCAAGAATGGTTGAGGATGTCCTTCTCATAGTGGGCTAAGGAATGATTACAGGTCAGCCTTGCAAGCAGCTAGGGAAAAAAATTAAATTTCATAGATAAACAAAAACCAAACTAGCAAAACTCTAAACCCTACCATATATATATATATATATATATATATTTGATGGGGAATAATGTAAGTAAATTAGAGACCCTTCATAAAAATTGTTACATATCACAAGGGAGGAAGGTTACAGAACTCAAGAAAGAAAGCTTATGCAACTTCTTATGTGGGTGAAGGTAAAGCAATTTGTGGTGTGAAGTGAAGCAATTGTATAACCTTGAAAACTGGAAGAAAGTGGGTGATTATTTAAAGACTCATCAATCAGAGAACCGTGAGGTTAATCCTGATGAATTTATTACATGGCAAATTATTTGTTCTGCACTACGATTTTTTAATGATTTGGATGAAATTGATCAGCCTGCAGTAGATCTGTCAGCAGATACTTCTTCCGAATCAATACCACCACTTTCGCCTCATGATCCCGTAGTGTTCCAAATGAAGGAGGGAATTAATGAGGAGGAACCAGAGGGCTATGCCATAGATTTGAAAGAGTATAATTTACATCCCACTGTAAAACCACAGCCAATGAAAGCTGTGGCTGCAGCACCATCTAGTGAGTTAAGGCTGCTAAAACAGCAATTAAACCCTGCACTCTGTGCGACTGAGAATGAAGCTTTGCCGTCCTCTAAGTCAAAACACTTTTTAGATACTTGCCAAAAAAGATGGATCAAGGGGATGTTGAACTGCTCGATGCTGTGCCTGTGACTTATCACAACAAGCATCCTTGTCATGAATAAATTTCTTATGATATGGCTAAGGAGTTAAAGTCTATGAGCGAAAAAGGTCTTCAATCTTCCCGTACGATAGGACTTACAGAGGCTGTTGCAGAAAGCTATATAATGTTACCTGCTGATTGGAAAGACTTATTTAAATAGGTTATGGCACCAGGACAGCATTCAATTTGCTGGTCTGAATACCAAGATGTATGTCAAGAACAGGTACTGGCAAATATGAATACTCGTAATGCTGAAATAACAAGAGATAATCTGGCGGGGATAGGACCTCAGGCATCTATAAGGGATCAATTAAGAATGCCCCCAGAAACATTTAACCAAGCGAGGGGGCTGGTTTTGAAAGCTGTGAGAAGAGTGCCAGATGTTAACAAGACCGAGCCTGGCTTTTTCACCATAAGGCAAAGACCCTGAGAGTTTACATCATCTATATTGATTGTTTGCAAACAGCCATGAATAGGCAAGTTGAATTATCAGCTATAGCAGAAGCTTTATTGAAATCCTTAGTCTATGAAAATGCTAATACTGACTGTCAAAAGGCAATTGATCCAGTCAGAAACAAATCTGATATTACTGTAACTGACTTAATCAAAATCTGTACACATATTGATACAGAGCAATACAGAGCAGATTTGCTGGCAACTTGCTTGTTGGCTCAACAGCTGCAAGCAGCTTGGGCAGCAATTAAATGGTTTGACTGTGGACAGGAAGGTTATGTGAGAAAGCAGTGCCCAAAGAATGAGCAAAGGAATAAAAACCAGTGGTGCCCCAGGTGCAGAAAAGGCTATCACTGGCATAGCCAATGCCACTCTAAATTTGACCAAGAATTCCTTTGAATGTCATGTATTCTTACTTGGGAGATCAACCTCATCTAAAGGTGGACTTTTTATTTTACCAGGAATTATCGACTCTGATTCCGGGGATGAAATAAAAATCATGGCTTGGACTCCTAATCCACCATGTACTATTCCAGCAGGATCATGCATTGATCAACTGATACCATCAACTGATCAGGTGATACCATCTGTCAGTGCTGACAGGGGCACTGGAGGTTTTGGGAGCACAGGCAGTCCTCACATTTACTGGCCTAAACTCATTCTGTACAGCAACCTTTTCTAACCTGTGTTGTAGATGGCAAGTCTCTTACAGGATTAATAGATACCAGAGCTGACAAACCCATCATCAGTGAATGTGAATGGCCACCTACCTGGCCCTTGTCAATGCCATCAGTGACCGTCACAGGCATCAGAGGTCAGCAGATGCCCCAGCAGCCAGCTAAGGGGCTCATGGTATATGGGCCAGCTCAAACCATATATATGTACCTTCTACTACATGCACACTGTGGGCTAGAGATCTGTTATCACAGTGGGGACTGACAACAAATTTTGAAAAGGGCTCACTGATGTGCAGCTGAGACTTAAACTCACATGGAACATGAATACTCCAGTGTGGGTCCCTCAGTAGCCCCTCAAAAAGATAGGCTGCAACAAGCACAAAAATTGGTCAAAGAACAGCTGGATCTGGGAAATAGAGTTTCTACTGGAACCCCGTGGAACACCCCAGTATTTGTGATTCCATAAAAGATTGGCAAACAGAGACTCTCACAAGATCTGAGGGCTGTCAGTGCACTAATAGCCCTGATGGACACCCAGAATTCCTAATCTAGCAATGATCCCTGAAACATGGGAATTGTAAATCGTTGACTTAAAAGCTTGTTTTTTCACAATTGCATTACACCCTGATGCTGCACCTCATTTTGCTTTTTCATTATCATACTTGAACAACACTGAATTTATGCAAAGGTATCACTGGATTTTGTTACCAATAGGAATGAAAACCAGTCCTACAATTTGCCAGTTTGTGGTGCAAGTGCTTTACAACCAGTGCAAAAGCACTTTTCAAAGGTTCTGTTGTATCATTATATGGATGATATACTACTAGCAAAAGGTGACTCTGTAGTATTGCAAAAATGTTTTGCATTTTTGCGCCTTTCTCTTGATAAATTTGGTCTTTGTATTGCAGCAGGCAAGGTTCAAACTGTCCCACCATGGAAATACCTTGGGTTTCTATTACTTAAACAGAAAATTGTTCCTCAGTCCATTGTGCTGAAGACCTCTATTACAACACTAAATGATTTGCAAAAATTATTAGAAACTATTATTTGGCTCAGACCTACCCTTGGTATGTTCACTGAAGAACTGCCACCTGTTTAATTTACTTAAGGGAGACACAGATTTACTATCTCCTCTCCTCACAAGCTGGATGCAGAAGCCCCTGAAGCATTGCAACCTGTAACAAATGAAATTCAGACCTCTTTTTTATCCAGATGACAAGCAGAGTTACCACTGGGGCTTTTTCTTATCCTGGCTCAATTCCAACCATATGCAAACTAATTGCACAGTGGTGTACAAGCAACAACTGTGGATGATAGAGTGGGTGTTTTTACCTCACACATTTTCAAAAACAGTAACTACACTGCTTGATGTGATTTTTAGACTTGTTTCCACAGCACGAAAATTATGCCAGACCCTAGTGGGGAAGGTCCTTCTCACATCCACATTCCTTTGTCACATTCCTTTATCTCTTTTCAGGATGTGTTCTGAGAATCATTATCTTTACAGGCTGCCGTGACACACTTTTTGGGAAACCTTGTTAATTCTTTGCCAAAAAATAAACCCCTGCAACTTCTAAAAGATCTTTAAAGATGTGGTTTTTAACATCGTCACAGCCCCTGTCTAGAGCAAAGATGATTTTCGTCAATGGCTGTGAGAAAACACAGAAAGCAGTTGTTGCCTGGAAAAATTTGGCAGGGGTTTGGGAAAACTGTGGTTTTTCAGCCAGGATCAACACAGCTGGTCAAATTAGCAACTGCTGTAGAGTCCTTTTGATTGTTCAAAAATGAGCCCTTCAACTTAATATTAAATTCCTTGTATGTAGTTGGCATTTTAAATCAAATTGAACATTTCTTTCTAAAAGAAGTACATAACCATTTTTTCAGTATTGTTATCTACTTTGTATGATTTTGTTTGATGTAGATCTCACTGTTTTTCTGTTATGCGTCTCAGGACTCACTCATCATTGCCTGGACCTCTGGTGGAAGGCACTGCAGCTACTGATGCTCTGACAATGATGGCAACAGTTCCGAATCAAATCATACAAGCAAAGTTGTCACATGACTTTTATCACCAGAATGCAAAATCTTTAAGAAAACAATTTAATCTTATTTTTTCTGGAGCCAGATAAATTGTTCATTCTTTCCCTGATTGTACACATTAACACCTTTACCTACTACAATAAGTACAAATCAAAAAAATTAGGTGTCAATGAAATCGGGCAGATGGATGTTACACACATTTCCTCCTTTGGCACCCTAAAATATGTGCATGTATCAGTTGACACATGTTCCAAATTTTTATTGCCTGCACTCATAAAGAGAAAAAGGCAGGAGATGTCATTAAACACATGTTGCGAATTATTGCTACCTCAGAAGTCCTGAAAGTAGTGAAAACTGATAATGGTGCAGCGTATGTTTCACAACCAATGAAAACCTTTTTTCATTGTTGGGGTATATGTCACTTAACTGGTTTACCTCATTCCTCAACAGGTCAAGCTGTTGTGGAACAAAGGCATGCCCTTTTAAAGAATATGCTTATTAAACAAAAGAGGGGGGATGCCCTTGGTACAATGCCTCAGGAACAACTGGACAAAGTAACATTTGCTTTCAATTTCTTAAATATTTCCAGATTTGATAAGAAAACAGCAAATGAAAGCAGGTTTTCCCATGGTGCTTTAATGGATTCTCAGCCACCTGTCTATTACAAAGACTTGCAGAGTGGACAATGGCTAGGCCCTGTGCTTTTGCTAACATGGGGGTGTGGTTATGGTTGTGTTTCTCTATCCACAGGAGCTCACTGGCTACCTGTGAAGAACATAAAACCCACCACAGAAGGAATGAAGACTGGAAGGCATCACAGTTTTGGCTTGGTAACCATCTACTATGGCTTTAGGCAAAACATATGTGACCTTTTTTGTCATCTTTAGCAATTCTTGAGGATGGTGAATGAGGCATGGGTCCCACAGCCAAAGAGCAATGGTTGGCTCACATTAGCCAAAGCAATTAACCAATCTACCCTTCATATATCCATGACCAGTCCTAGTGATCCACTTCAGGCATGTCTGGCTGGCATTTCTTTGATGAAGGATTGTTGAGATGGAGAATGAGGGATGGGACCACCTTGCTTTGAGATGATTTATTGCTCAAGTAGCCAGATAAGATATCAGTCCCAAGGTGTGAGATTTAGAGGGGAGCAACAAGTCAGCCATAGCTCAAGGAAGTCACAAGTTTCTTCTTCACACGGCAATATATAACATTTTGGTCCAACAGACAGTTGACACAAAACTTGTTTCTACTTATTAACCTATCACCTTTGCTTAATTTTGCTGCACTGCATCTGTCTCTTAGCCAATAAGCTGACAGGTCACATACTCATACACAGCTCTATTATAGCTTCTAGATCCCCAGCCTACTCTATAAGTCCCATTATTACAGCTCAAACCTCACAATATTTTACCTAATGTAAATTTCTTACTTAAGACATATTCTTACTTATAACTATAGGAACAAAAGTTTATAATTTTTCTACTTAATGTTTATGTAACTTTTTAATTTCATTAACCCAAACTCTTTCTAAGGTTGCAGACTGAACCCTTCAGCATCTGTGGAATTTTCCATTTTTCCATTTCCCACAAGGCATGAATGGAGTAAGCTGTATGATCAGTTACATGTGATTGTATAACTCCAGGTAAGTGTAGATCATTGTTGTGATTTGGATCATGGCAGTCTAATGCTGGAGAGTCTGTGGGATGGTAACTGGGCAATACTGATGGAGGCATGAGAAAAGTAACTTCCATGCTTTCCCACTGAAGCCTCTAAAGCTGAAAGTGCTAGGCTCTATAAAAGCTCCTGTATGTTTTTATCTTAATTATGCTAACAGTTAAAACACAGACAGCACAGGAGCTGATATAAGTGGCACTAGCATTTACCATAATACCTCTGCCTGCTGTAGTCTTACTGCTCCCTCACAAGCCACCACAAAAATCAATGCAGTAAGCATACACAATAACATATTTCTAATATGTGGCAACAGAGCATGGGAAGGCATTGCAAGTAGCGCAGTGGGAGGTCCATGTACTTTTGGTCATTTGGCTGTGTTCCACCCCAGTCTCAAAACTCTAATTGGACATTACTACTAAATAAACATGATGCTGAGTAATTGTTATAAATGCAAAGGCAGATTTGGGTTAAATAAAAACAATTTATTATAAAACAATTTCTATAAAAAATAAACAATGAGGAAAAACCACAATAAAACAAACAGCGCAGCGCTGGGTGGACAGGGGTCTATACTCAAAGGTATAGGTGTTCCCAAATCCACGAAGGAGGGTAAACTGTCCGGGGTTTTTATAGGGATTTTTAGCCTTGAGGCCAAATTCCAGGCAGGCACCATTCATCAACAGTCCTTGATTGTCGTATGAATTGATTTCCTGGCATTGGAGAATAGAGTCGAATGGACGTCCGGACCGAGTCTCCTCATATGTAAAGAAATTCTGAGTGGCTCTTGTGGTTCAGGCCATCCGGATGGGATGGCTGGATCCGGGTTGGAGCCGATGGATATTTCGGTTGGATTTTTCTTTTTGTTTACTTGATGGCTTCCCCCAACGGTAGCCCGCAAGGCGAGGTGTTCAGGTCCGGTGATGAATATCTCGTCGG